AAGGATAGCTATGGATGAATAATGACACTTTGGAATATCTAAAATTGGTTGAACATAATCTTATGAGTAGACGCCCTTCTAATGACCTATCAAACGAGGATTTTCCAAGATATGTCGGTTTACGAGAGGGTTTTATGAAATCAACTAAAGCACAAACTTCGCTGGTTCCAGTCGCTTCCACTTTTGCTTCGCTGCTCCCCAGAATTTTGATCCACGGTGTTCTACCTAGCTTTATTTTCAGCTTGATACGTGGCTGCTCGTCCGAAGCCCTAAATCCGACTTTATTAATTAGGATCAGTAATGGAATAAAAAAGTAGCAAACATGTGCTAAACTGTATATCGAAAAAAGAAAAACATTCAAAATATCACAATGGATGTAATTGTGAACCTGCGAGTCTTCATTACGTGCGACCTTCCACTAGGTACAACTTTGGATTTAGTAAGCGGAGTTGTTCCAGATGTTCCCGTTAGAGGAATTTTGGCATTCTGTTCAAGTGCAACATCCTTGTCAGTGATTTCTTCTTTACTGCTAGCAACAGCATCTGCAGTCTCGCTTGCCTTACCTACTTCAACCTAGAACATAACAGGACTGAAATAAAGTTCAATTCCAAAATAAATGAGATTAACAGAACATCTCGAGCTGTTCAAAATCTTTTCTGACGTTGATTAATCCCGGGTTTAGAAGCACTCTTACACTCAGAATCGTATCACTGTTTGAATACATATGGGCCCTGCACAAGCCAGCCTATGTTCGAGTCGTACGTGTAATAGAGGGCATTTGCAAAAAAAAACTAAGTATTGTACAAACATAAGATATTATTGTTCCCCTGCTCTGCCAATCGAATCGAGTTGTGCATGGGGGAATCTCGCAGATACAAAATTTATGTAGATCAAAGCCAAGGGAAATGTCTTCATGCACATAGTTTGGAAGCACTCCAAACTCCAAGATTGGCCCATCCTCCAATGGAAGAAAAAGACCCGTTACTGTTGATAGAACTCACGGTTCGCTAAAGCCTGGTAAATCAGTTATAATGGACAACCACTAAAAACTGTGGTGTGCCAAACGATCAAGACAAAATACCTCTTGAGAAGCGATTTTTGGACGTCTTCCTCTCTTCTTCCGCAGCGGTGAAACAAAGTCAGCATTCAGGAATCGTGAAGAAGGGCGCACAGCTCGTGAAGATATTCGTCCAGCTCAAATGACCAATGTCATGTAATTTGACGAAAATATTTAATAACTTAAAATTACCATTGACTGATATTTTTGCTACACTTGAGGCTCTGCCTTTCTTAGCTTCCTAAAATGTTCGATAGAACGGTTGAAAGAGCTTGACATGCTAAGCAAAATGCAGCAGACAAACAAGTCTAATCAAAGCAAATGCAAGATATTCCACCAACCGTCACTTCCTCAGCGAGTTTCCCCTCATCATTCTTGTTTTCTAATCCTGAAGATGCTGAGCAATGAACGTTCTCCACGTTAGTGGGCTTAACAGCGGATTCTGATGACACTTCCGGAACATCTGAGCAGACTCGGTCCTGATACTCTACAGACTTTGTTGCGTCGTTAGTTGTCTTTTCAGGATGCTCCGGGGGATCTCCTCCATGTTTCTCGAGCGTATCCGAAACAGCCTTCTCTTCTTCCCTCGAAGATATTGAACTTTTTTTGCTCTGTTCTTCTGACGATTCTGACGTTGTTTTTTCAACACCTATAAACAAAATTAGGTCATTTTAATTAGCCAGACACAGCAATTAAGTGAAAAATCAAGATTCCTCCTTTTTGGTGAACCTTTAAGCGATAAAGTTAACAAGATTTTCCCACTACTTGTCTAATCCTATACCAGCCTAACCTTGCGAGTGGACCTCAAGACTTGGAGTTGTAACTGGCACCACAGATGGTGGAGTAGGTTGTTCCTTGGCCTTGATCACAGTGGCTGTCAATGGCTGTGGAGAAGGAGACCTGATTGGGCGTGTGTACCTACAAAACATAAATAGTATGGAAGCCTTAACATGCATTTCCATTAGTCAACCCAAATTAAACTATGTTACTACGGAAAAGGACAAGGAGCAATAAAAGCTCATAGAAATTGGAAAAGTCCAAACAAACCTGTACACGTAAAAATTTACCTAGACACCCTTCGCAAAATACCCAAAGCCGAGTTCGGATTGACATTCTTTGCCGCAGACCAAGAATTAGAACGACTTTCTGCTGGTTGCTCGGATTGTTCTGACTCTTGCGTCTTGCTTGCCGGGATGTGGCTTCGGCTGGATCTGTAAAAGTACAGTAAAGTCGCGAAAATATCAGAAATGCTAAAGAATCTACCAACCTACGAAGATTTTGAAGATTCGGTGATGACTTCGATGCAGGTACAGGCGACACACGGCCGTCCGCAGAAATTCTAGATCGTCTAGCTCCGCGAGCTCTGACTAAGAATGAACGCCCTTGTCCTCTACCTCCACCTTTGCCTCTAGAATTGAGATTAGCAATGAATAACGTAAAAACGCGTCACTACAGCCTTTGAGATTGCAGAGTAAAGAGAAGGAAATCCTTGTAGCTGATAAAATACCCATCGCCTACAATGGTCTACTTTGATCGATTCGTGGTGTGAACTATGTGTAATACCATGAAGACTCGGGTACAAACTGAAATCTACAGCGCCCTCTCCAGCATCTGGATTTCTGTGATTTCCGTGAGCCTCGACAAGCTGCTACATTTGCCGTCGAGCGAAAGCGCAAAAAACTATGTTGACCGTAGCATCTTACCACCATAACAATAATGATAGGGCATTTTTAGCAGACGTCAAGGGAGCAATCCATTCAACTGTCACTGTAGGTCGCGGATTTGGATATATTGTGATAAATTAACACTGTGACCTATTGTGAACTAAGGAAGCCTCTCCTCGAAGGTGGAGGAAAAAGAAAAAGGTCCACACCTGTTACCAGAGAGAGTATGTTCGGAATTCGAAATTGATTCTTGACTTCCGCTTGCGATAACCTGATCAGTGGACGCCACAGATGTGGAACGAGTGCTGCTGAAAATTGTAATAGCGGACTGAATATCACTACTGAAAGCCGAGCCAAGGATCAGAGCAATACCTATAACGAGGACAAAAGGATCTAAGCAAGCTCAAAAATAATCCTCACCTTCCTTGGTGTTCGGAAGAAACTTCTGAAGATTGTGCTTCGGACTGTTCACCTTGCACTCTCGAAGGTTCATCTTGAATGCTGAGTATGCTTTTTGCGGTGCCACTTGCAGCAGAACTTCTTCTGCCACGAGCAATAACGGACTTCAAAGGAGGGTTCGTAAGGGAACCATTGTCAGCGTCTAAGTTCACGCTGCTCGTAGCAGGCGCAACAGCTGGCGCCAAACAAGATTGAGATCCCTGAAATACTACGGAAATGCAAAAATTGCTGTAGACCTGACCAGAATAGTTTTCTGTTTTTGTTAAAAATTTCTCAAGGAATATGCTAACTCGAGGTTGTCTGAAATACGATTTTATTGTGAGAACCTGCATCTAGTACTTGAATGTAGTGCTGAAAAATAATAAATAAGGCTTTACCACGTCTGTAGCAGTTTCGAAGGAGGAACCTCCTTTCTTAGTCCCATCAGCTGAATCTGTATTAAGGGCGGATCGCCTTCTTTTCGTTACCTAAAGTTGAGATATTATTACTATAAGTTTCTTCATAATCCCACACCAGTATACACGGACTTTAGCTAGGAAACTGAGAGTCTTTCCGGCAGAAGAACGTTTTGGTCGATCAGAAGCGGATGGAGAACCTGACTTCTTCATTCTTTTTACAGGAAGGCCTGAAGCAATCACATTTTTTATCCCATCTATAACATAAACGAAGTAACAATGACCTTTGGGTTCAGCTGAGTCTGAGGTTTGATCGTTCCCTGCCGAGACAAATTTTGCTTCACTAGTGGGAACCAGCCCACTTTCAGAGGCCATCCGCTTGGATTTCCTCGCCGGAACAACCTGAATGCATTTGAAAGATATAAAGCTCAGTCTAACGCAATTATACGCGTACTAATTGAATATCGAACTTCTGTATGGAGATCTTTCTCAGAGTGAGAAGTGGACACAACATCTGTGATGATTTCCTTCAATTCTTTTGCCGTAGGAACCTAAACTGCTGTTGAATTTTTTAGGGCGTTACACGATAAAAGGAAAATAGGAGTAGCTATAGACAGATTAGTGTTCTAGACCTGAGAAGAGACTCCTCTGTCGGGGCGAGAAGCAGATTTAACGTCGGGAACCACCACTGCTTTCTTTGATGACAAAACCTAGATGAGTTCTGAATCAACCAATCGATAATACAAACATAGGGATGCAAATAAAAAATGAAATATAAAATTTATAGATGTGTTATCTGTAATAGTGCAAATACGGCGCTTTCCAGCACTTGCAGAGACAAGATGGTATCAATCTATAGAAGACACCAGTTACCTCCGTAACTTTTGGTGAATTTTGTTCAGCGTTAGAAGGCTGCACAGATGTACCAGCGATTTCTACTTTGCTCAACTCGCCGAGCGTTCTCCGTCGTGGGAGCTTCAAGAACGAACTTTCACAAGTTCGAGTCCACTGATGCAAAAACGTGACCCACCTTGATGACAGGTACTGATGATCTAGGCCTTTTTCTAGATTTCACAACAACAGGAATAGTAATTGGACTAAGGGGCGCGCCAGTGAAAGGAGCTGCTCCTATGTCAGCCATTCTTACGAAAGGAACCACAGCGTTTTCTTCCTCGTCTTCGTCTGAAAATATCTCACCTATTTCAGGTACCAACGAAGGAAAAAACAAGTACCATCTGATGAAACTGCGCTCGCAGTGACCTCTTGTTTTATGACAGAACCAGAAGCAGTTGATGTGCTAGCACTCTGAAGAAAACCCGTTTTAGAATTTCAGTAAGAAGTATGCTGCCAATCACGGTTGTATAAGCAGGTAAAAATTAAGAGCTACCGTAGGGAGTTCTATCGTGTCTTTTGCAGGTTCCACCGACGGCACTTCATCTTTTTTGAATAATACGAAATCCGAAGCATCGCGATTCACCAGGCATTCGAGAAGTACGCCAGACGTTGCATCACAGCAAAATGGAAGTTGTGACAAATGAAAAACCTGAATCGCACAGATCTCTAACCACTACCCTGTACGCCAGGAAATATTAATTGTGTGTTATCCAATACTACGACAACTTTCAATCCGCGTTTACAAATCAGTTGCTGAAAAATAGGTTTTCCCTATCAGCACAAACGAGCTCCACCGAATTAATAAAGTTCTGAAGATGCCGGATTTTATTCTTACCATTTTGCTCTTTTCCTGCTGCTTTGCTTTATTTTGAAGCAAGGCTGCAATGCTCTTCAGTTTACTCCGAACTTCAGGTGATGGGGAGTAGCTGAAAGCAAGTCGGAATGGATGAAAAATACCATGGCATAAATTGCTTACGCACCGACGAGCCGGTGAATGACGAGGACGAGTTGAAGTACTGGGCCTGGTTACCTCCTCGGGCATAACGCGTGATCTGCGTCTACGAGTAGAAGCTTGTAAGGGTGCCTTCCTGAAAACTCTGCCATATTCTGAGGTGTATAGTCCAAGCACCTAAGAAATCAACTGCTCAAACCTTTCATTTTCTTCTTTGGTTATCGTCGTCCTGATGATTTCGATCTGATTAGATGAACTTGGTGTTATTGACGATCTTCTTGCAGGTCGCCTAGTTTCTAGAATTAGAATGAAACTGAGGATAAAAGACAGTAATTAGCACTTGGCTAATGCATTCTGGCCGAAACGAACAAGATTAGAAAGTTGTTCTATTACTAAGGAGAACATTTGAGAAATTAGGAGCAGTTATTGGGTCCTACACTTTCCCTACGTGTTGTGATCCATAATAACGGGTACAACTTGATATTGCAGTCCTATATGTAGCATTACATATGTATGGGTTATTACTGTTATGGTACAGAACCCATCTTATCCTCGTCTCTGTGCCTTTGGCACTGCACATATG